TAAAGGAATATTGAACAATGAGCTATCTTAATTTAAAGCATGGTCTTCAAAACTTAGTATGAGGGGGAAAAAGTATGATTCATGTTGAAAATAACAGCTGCCAGGGACTTAGCCACTAGGACTACAGATAATGGGGGTCATTTTTGGAACCTACATGCGGTTGATCTTAGAGTTTTTCACTTAATGCATTTGCAATTTCTTTGTCCATGAGGTACAACTTGTCTGGGAGAAAATATATTATTCACAATCAGCTCACGTTTGGTGAATCATGTGAGGAAATTAGTACTTCACTGTCATTCGAAATCAGTAAGAAGTGTGTGCATTGTTCTTGAGTTCTCAGTAGTCCTCATTGTCCGCTATGTTCAGCGAGTCCGGTTTTAACCCAGGCTTTTTCAGACCCAGGCCAGCTGGCCTTGGTGAGTTCCCGATAGAACATCCCCATTGTCTCAGTGTGTGGGTGCACCCCTCGAAGTCCTGAGTTCCTTGCTAGTGCTCTCTCTCCTTCTGCTCCTGATTTGGACCTTGAGATTTCAGTCCGGTGCTCCAATGTGGGTCTCTGTCTCTGTCTCCTTTCCTCGCCTGATGAAGGTCAATGGCAATGGGTTTTTGATCCTACTGCACGTACTGGCTTTGTGGGAGCCTAGGCAGTTTGGATGCTCACCTTACTAGACCTGGATGGAGGTGGGTGGTCCTTGGACTTCCCACAGGGCAGGGAACCCTGATTGCTCTTTGGGCTGACAAGGGAGGGGGAGGAGGAGGGAAAAGGGAGGCGGTGGCGGGGAAGAGACAGAAATCTTTAATAAATAAATAAATAAAATAAAAATAAAAAAAGAAGTATGTGCAATATGGAGACTCACTTTTTTGTGAGCTGTGTCCATTGTCTCTCAGAGCAATTGCAGGGAGGACCATGAAAGATTTTTGGAAGTGAAAACACTGAAGTATGATATCGAGCTCATTTACAAATTACTTTCTCTTCAGGAGGTGGTGGCACACTCCTTTAATCCCAGCACTCAGGAGGCAGATGCTGGCAGATCTCTGAGTTTGAGGCCTCCCTGCTCCAGTACAGGCTCCAAAGCTACAGAGAAACCCTGTCTCAAAAAACCAAACCAAAACAAAAAATTACTTTCTCATTATAAAAATTATATATATATGTAAACAAATGATGTACATATATATTCACATTGCATATACACAGACAGACAGACACACAGACAGACAGATACACACACACACATTTTTTGTACCAAGCTTAAGATATGGAAAAAGAAAATTACAAGTAGCATTTCCCCACCTCGTGGTATGTGTTTTAATGACAAATGGATATACTTGAGGGAAAGTAGAGCAGAGGTTAAACATTTAGGTGGGAGAATAAGCATACTTAGGGCCAATCATCAACATACCTTCTAAGTAGTTGTCTAATTTTTTCCAAGCTACACAAACTCTGTAAGCGTTGCTTAACAATAAAATGGAATTATGGTTTACACAAACCTTATCATGTTGCTCACTTATTTTTATGCTCATTTATTCTTTTGTTGTTGTTGTTGTTGTTGTTCAACAAATGCTGCTGAGCACATATTCTCTGCCTGGCTTCTATGCCCCAGAGAGCATAAGAGGGCTGGAACGCAGGGGTGTACTAGGAAGGGAATGCAAAGTCCTCATCAATATATTGAGATACGTGATATCTGTGATCTTTGCACTAGTCCCCTTGTTGTATTGACCACGAGGCAATGCCGCGAGAAGCAGAGGATAGATTCATGTGTTAGGGTTTACATCACAGGAGAAGGATCATGAACTTGGGGATTCTAATCCTTTATAAAGGTTAGTAAACCTGCTTGACCTTTGTCCTGGATAAAGACATTGCCTGCATTAGATGGGACAATAAATAAACCTGACTTTTTCTTTCTCCTGTGGTTATTTGCTCTACAGCCCATCCTTGAAAAGTAGTTATCAGCCAGGGAGTACAGTAGCCTGCTGAGCTCATGTGCTGAAATTCAGGAGACCCCCGGAGCACTGGCTCTCAACAGCTGTCTGAAATACAAATGGTTAGGTACTAAGTAGCTTTGATGGATCTGAAGCTTGTGGGTGGAGCTCAGGGGTACAAGTTTCAGAAGGTGCCCATCGGTTTCTGCTGCAGTTAAACTGTGTTTCTACTGTCTAGAGACTAGGATGAATCAGAGGACTGATGAGGGAATTGGGGAGACAGGGGTGGAGTCAGTTGTGCTAGGGAAGTGCTTGCTGTGATCACATGAGGCTGTGCCTGGGCTCTCTTTAGTGGAGACAGGAGATGAGGAAGGCTGGAGCATGACCTAGTGCAATGATTGAAAAAAAAAAAAGAATTTATCTACAAATTAGAACTCTGGACGATAGCCATACCTATGCGATGTGAACTGGAACAAATAATCCCATTTCAGAGACTTTGTAAAAATCTGGAAAAGTTTTTGTAATATCTTTCATCAGATTCAAAATAGGGATTTTCTTTTGTGACAACCCTAATCTCTGGATGCACAGGCTTTAGGGATTTGCAGGTGTCTACTCTGGGTGAGGAATGGGATGAGATGATGTCCTAAGGCTGACTTCTCTAATCCTCCCAAATGCTTTCTTTTTCTTTTGAACAGAGGAACTGCTTTTGCAAAGTTCCACATTTGTTAGCTTTCTATTCTCTGTGTTCTTAGCAGGGGCCATCTCAGCACTCACTTGCTTTTACAGCCTGAATTTGTTAGAATTTTGCCTTGTCTGGATGATTTGCTATTGGGGCAGCTGGGAAGATATTCCCATGTTTGGACCCTTAGGCTGTGAATTTGCAGGTAAAACAGCCCAGATCAACATCTTTTAGGGCACAATGAGTTGTTCGCTTACGTTCTCTCAAGTTTTGTTTCTTCTGAAACCAAATGAATTTTTTAGTTCCACCTGTGATCAGAAGCAACTAGGGAAAAGACGAACAATAATTACTATTGAAGAAGTTTCTTGGATATCAGTTCAAAGCTTTTTATTAAATTGGATATGTTACTAACCACCTCATGAGCTCTTAAGAACAGCTCTGGAGCTCTTAGACTCTTGACTATTTTCTATATTTTAATAAACATTTTTGATCAATTAAGGATGTCCCCGAAAGGAAAAAAATGTTTTGAATTGCAGCAATTTCTTTAAGGTGTACCTTTAATTCTAAGTGGGGCTAATACTTCAAAAAAGAATTAAGTGATATTAGCAGATAATGATTTTGATCTGTTTCCAAGAAAAACTAATTTATAGCAACAGATTTATTACAGACTTAATTAGTTATTGCACCAGTGAGCAGAGTGTTCAGGAAGACAGAGAGAAAAAACAAACAAACAAACAACGTTATCTGTGATGAGGGAAGAAGAGAAAAGAAAAGAGGAGACAGAAGGTGAAGGGGAGATAAAAATAAAAGCAATATAAAGGCAAGAAGGGAAGTAAAATGAAGTTTAATTCATTACTTGAACCTCCCTGAATGTGTCCTCCCAGCACATATGGATTGAGTTGTTATTCTTGCCTGAGTGCTTGAGTGTGGCCAGTGAGGGCCCAAGACAGTGCTGTGATCTTTACAACACTCATTCTTGCATGGCTTGCTAAGGATGAGAATGCTGATTGGAGGTTGGCGCATCTACAGATCCATTTCCTTGGTTGAAATAATTACTGGAGCCAGGCATGGTAGCACATGCTTTTAATCTTAACACTTGAAATGCAGGATCTCTGTGAGTTCAAAGTTAGCTTGGCCTGGATAGCAAGCTCCAGCCCTTCTAGGAGTACATAGGGAGACTGTATCTCAATCAATAGATAGATAGATAGATAGATAGATAGATAGATAGATAGATAGATGGATGGATGGATGGATGGATGGATGGATGGATGGATGGAT